AAATTTAAATATTTTAGAGACTAAAACAGAATTCGCTTTATTTATGAAAAAGTATTATTACCATTATCATAAATTATAATTATATATTATTTTTAGACAAGTACATGCACTTATAATATAATAAAAATATACTATTTTTCTAGTTGCGTATCTGGATACTTAGAGTTGTTGGATTCCTTTGGACAAGGAACAGGGCCTCGGATATGTGGCCAAAATGAACGGTTAGCACCTCCAGTCGTTATGTTTGCAGATCGAGAATCGGCAGTATTGAATTTCCGGTAAGTATCAAACACCAAAAGTGTTCGGATATATTAAAATAGCAAATAAAATAAGATTATGATACATTTCTTATAGCTTAAAATATAATGAATAAATATATTCAATAAAAATAATATAGATCCTAACTGAGTGCAAATAAGAGATATTTTAACTACCGTCTAGTGCGAGAAATGAACGGGTAAACGGTTGAACGGCCTTTAGTGCAGGATTTCATYCTAGCGTATGTTTATGACTGCTTGAAAGAGGTGATATAAAATGTGAACCAAAAAGACTATCTTGTTAAAAGGTAGTTATTATTAAAATTGGCTCTTTGTGAAATAAGCTGCATGTACAAGATCATTTGAAAAGGAAAAAATGTTCCTCGCCATGCTTCCGGTTCGAGCAAATTTTTTTTTTCAATTTCAATTGTTCATTATTCTATTGAAAAAGTTTTTGATAGCTATCCAATTTTATAAAATATGGTTTTGATAATATGGTTACATAATTGTTTTTGGATAAAACTTTACCATACGAACCAAGTAATTTAACATTTTAATGTTGGTAASAATTAAAAAAATACTTTTTTAGAAATTTTCAAAAAAAGTTATTATTACCCATCCAAACAATATCATTGTGAATAAAACAATATAATTAATTCGATACAAAACAAATATTCATTTAAAAATATTTTAATATACCATATAAAATCAAAATCAGAATTTATTACAAAATGTAATAATTACAACGATAATATGATAAAAACATAGAGAGCTATATTTTGTTCACTCATCGAGAATGTTTTTATCCATTTTTATTTCAACCCTTTTCCCTCTTAGAAAACTATAACCATAATAAACACAATACTTCTTCCGCCTCATTTCCTTTTACTTGAACGAATCTTTATAGTTTATACTGTTTAATGTTCATTCACAAAACAACATTATCTGCCATAAATAAAATTAAATGGAAATGTCGTAAAAAAKATTAATTTAAAATACGAAAGTAATGAACTAATGTAATTATACTGTCATTATGTTGAAAAAATATTTGTAAATTGAAAAAAAACAGATTATTATAATGAGTAATAACAATATGAGACCTACTGTAAAAGAAATATTTTAATATAAATAAATGCATGTTGTATAAAAGTTATTTGCGAAAACCACATGCTTAAAACAGTAAACCATTTAAAACTATACAGGTAGGTAGTATAAATCA